TGTCAAGAAGAAAATAAAAAGATTTAGTTTGCTTTGATATAATGTTTAAAGTCCGACAATGAGGACTGGACGGGATTTCAAGTCCGCGCAATTAGTTCCAACTAATTGTTAGGACTTGAAATCCCGTCCAGTCCTCATTGTCGGACTTTGAACAACTTCTCATACTCATTAATTATTCGGGAGGGGAAAAAAGCGAAGGAAATACATATAACAGAAATATATTGAAATGATTACAATAGATGAGGTGACGGTTTCGGCCACCATTTTGTTCCGGTAGGCAAAGTGTCGCAAAATAACAAGGAATGACCGGGAAATCGATGTCAAATAATTCTCGCTGAATTCAAATTCAGAAAGAATTATCAATTGCAAACGTTAGATACCTCAAAAAGGAGTTAACGGGCAAAATTTGAAAGGCGTACTTGATCTAGAGAGCGAGTAAACTCATTTTTAGTTCTCCATACATTTCTTTGTATTTTTCACGCGCGTCACGCACTGATGACCCCGGAAATGATAACGAAATGTATTGAAATTACAAAGAAATGTATGGAGAACTAAAAATGAGTTTACTCGCTCTCTAGATCAAGTACGCCTTTCAAATTTTGCCCGTTAACTCCTTTTTGAGGTATCTAACGTTTGCAATTGATAATTCTTTCTGAATTTGAATTCAGCGAGAATTATTTGACATCGATTTCCCGGTCATTCCTTGTTATTTTGCGACACTTTGCCTACCGGAACAAAATGGTGGCCGAAACCGTCACCTCATCTATTATTGAAGATTTCAGTTGAGTCACTGATGACGTCAGAGAAAATAATTTCTTTTGGTTCTTTAAATACAGCTTACTCAACTCAGACACATATTTCGCCATTTACAAATTAGTATGAATTATTTTCCTATTAAATTCACTGAATRTTTGGCGTGTCCTTCTTAGGTAGTTCTGAATAAGTGGCTTTAAAATGTGAAAGAGTWTTATGGACGTTTTTATCGAGTTTTTTTACCAGTGACTTGAAAATGTCTGCGTGGCGGTTGAACACAATAAAAAATTGGTGCATGCATGCCTTGTGGTTAGTTGGTCAAAGGCTCAATAAAGTATTTTTGCCCCAAAAATATCATCTAAAATTAGATGTGGAATTTCCGTGTTTCTGGTCAGGTGACGTCATTCTTTGCTTCCTTGATTCACAGACAATTTTTTTTCACAATTTTTTTTCTATTTCTCATAATTTTTTTGATAGATAGGCAAATAATTTTATTTTTGGCTATTTATGTGCTTTTTGCATGTAAAACAATTTGATATAGTTGAGAATGATCACAAAAAGATCATCTTTTTTCGTTGCCTAGGGGACCCCTCCCTACCACAGTWGGAGACTGGGAAGGAACCGAGCATGCGCAGCTCTTTTGTTTGATAGATGCTTGGTTATGCAAATTACAGTGTAACATTCCAAGCGTAAGTTTAAARTTACGTGTTTTACACGACTTTATTACTCACTTTACCAACCAATGCGAGCCCAAAACACCTAGAAAGGGCCTCCATACAAGAGATCAAAAAATAATGTCTCACAAAGGAGGGAAAAAAGGTTCTCTACCGMGAAAAGGAAAGCAYTGGTCCCACAGCGTCCGCGAAATTGTRCTCTGCAAAAACGATGGTAGCTTTAATCTCAAGATCGACGGCGGTGCAGAGAACGGAGAGTTCATCTACATCGGTGGAATAAAAGAGAAAAAAGTGAAATACAAAAAGGGAAAATTCCATGTTGATGACATTGTGTTAGAAGTTAATGGGAGCTCAGTAGCTGGGTTTACAAGGCCGGATTTTCTAACGCTTATCAACAARGATGGCAAGGACGCGGTGAATATGCGTGTTGTAAAACCAGGTTCGTCTATTTGTTTATACTTGTTAATCGTTACCATATTCGATCGCTTCGCATTTAGACRTCTYCTAACTAATAAACTTTGACATGCCWGACTTGAAAAGGATCTTCCAAACGAAATTCGCAAGTTAGAAAAGTTTTTAGAAACTTGAAAGCTTTCAGGGGTGTGTGTGGTTCATAAGTCTTTACAGTTCGCTGGTCAAAAGTTCCTTTTGATAGCTTCTTTAAAAATTTATTTTTCTCTGGTTTTCATGCACACTAAAAGGCATTATTATTTAGACGATTGATTCTTCGAAATCGACAACTAGATGCCTCGATCAAAYGTTCGAATTTGTAGTCGATTTCATACTGTTTGTTGTCGTTGCAGGAGGTGGTATTATGAAAGAGCTGCGAGAATATTTAGCTTTGAGACTTAAGGATTCACCGGACAATGGACTTCAACAAACTATCAGAGACAATCTTTATCGGAGGACTGTWCCTTGTAAGTATTAAATATCCCACACGTAATAGCATATCTGAAATGTTTGGATTTTGAACTGTGTGCTCCAAAATAGAAAATCTTGTAATTGGTACCTTACTCCACAAATACATTTTAAAGAAAAGATCAAYGATGCTAGTTGATATTATAATTACGAACAATTAGATTTTCACAGTATTTTTTTTTTACTAAACTGGTTTTCTTATCACGAGGAAGTAAAAACATACAGGTTTCTAGCCAGCGCTTTCTTTCGAACTCTCAAGCACTTATCGTTTAATAACGGAGGCAAAAGAAGACTTATAATACTTGACACTCTTTCAGAATCGTTCTTAATTTGTGTTTTGGATTAGTATATCGAGACAGGTTAAAAAAATTTGTGGTTTTTCGTCACGAAAACACTGTATTTATGTTGTGTTTTGCTGTCATGTTCTAATTGAAACTTCTTTCAACTTTGCTGGTGGAATWATTGTTCCCYGGTCTGTTATTTTAATTGATCAACTTAACATTTATAATCAGCTGATTCGATCTCGTACTGCCTCGTTTGTGCTTTGTTTTGAGGCCTGCTTAGTGTAAATGGAATTCGGGATTTGTGTTGCAAAGTTATCTACGGGTCCATCTTATCGAGAATTTTAGATTTGCATTGTGTTGCTACAAGTACTTCACGAAAAAAGACGCTGTTTATGCTTGAATGATTTTCAGTTAAAGTGGCCTCAAAGCATCAAAAATTTCAATTTTGATATCATTTTCAGTTAGCTGGATATTGATTTATTTTGGTGAATATTATGTTGATAAAAAATCATTGATATTGCAAGTCCATGCTTATTTTCTATGTATATTTTGAACCGCATGATAGTCGACAACAAGCCATAATACTATACCTTAGTTTTGATAATATTGAGCTTCTGTTGCGTGATATTATTATTGCATAGTGGTAAATCGTTTATTGAATCAATGCTTTTAGCCTGCAATGTAATTTATWATAAACATTTCTCATGATATTGTCCTGTTTTGATCAACTGCATGTTTGTGTGAATATATTATGAAATTATCAACAGTTTGCACTTAACTTTTTTTTGCTCTTAATTTTTTTGTGTGTCCATGCTTACTTTATACATGAATTTATTATTGAGCACTTATAAATATAAGTTAGACCATCTCAAAAAATTTTGGAAAAAATACATCTATTTCCTAGTAATGGCCTAAAGTAGAGATRTATGATAATATATTTGAAACAAAGCAAAATCATTCAACCTGATACAATTTACACTTTGAATTGTACTTGTRGGATTGTGTAATTCTTTTATGAATCTAGTATTTTGTATATCTAACTATCTTTAATATTGATAATAATGCCTTTGACAATTTCCAATTACGCTGATAATTTGCATAATAACATAATATATTCTTCCCTTTGATATGTAATTGAATTATATGTTTTTGATTCTTCAACCAGTGATTTAGTATATTAAAAAAGCAATGATTTTGTTGCCATTGATTTGGCTCAGACTTTATCCCATATGAGCAGAAGTTGCCAACAATGTTGACAAAGCTGATGTGAGTGTCCAAGTTATTTGCATTTTGTGTTTTTGTAGATTGTTATTAAAAACAAAATATGAAGAGGTTCTTAACCTGTAAACCATAATAAAAATGTCAACATTTAAGAGTTTGCTAGACATAGTCTCCGAAATTATATAAGAGTATGCTAGATATAGTCTTTGAGGCAGTAGATGCTTTGCTAATGTGTTACTTGAAAACAGGCTTTGGGTTTGTCTTAGAAAATATAATGAGATTTTGAGAATKAGGAAGTTGTCCTTCAGTAGACTTGAAACTTGTTTTGATAATTGTTATTATACCATGCTAATGAAACATTTCTTTTAGCTCATCATTTTGAATACACTARGTTCTGTGCCAGTTTAATCATGTTGTCAAATTCGTCTCTCTCTATTTTGACAGAAAGGGAACTTMAACCAATCGAGGAATATGCAGACTTGTTCTTGAACCAGCTGATGTACTACATTATAATTAATCTGTTCTTGAATTACTAGGTACTACAAGATATCCAAGAGAGGGTGAGGTTCCTGGTGTTGACTATGTATTCCTGAGTATGGATGAATTCCGTGATATGGAGAGAAGAGGAGCATTTATAGAGACAGGAAACTATGAAGGMAACTTGTATGGTACTCCAAAGCCTCCTAAAATGCCCACATCAACTCTTCAGTCAATGCCAAAGCCTGAGAATAAGCCAAAACGTCCCAAGTCAGTCAATCTTATGGATCCTACATTTGTGCCAGAGCAGCTGGGGTATAATGAGGAGAATGCAAACTACCTTGGWCCATTGCCTCCAGACTGGGAAGTAGGTTATACAGAAGAAAACGAGAAGTATTTCATCAAGTGAGTTGACAGATTTGGGTATTTTTTGATTATAGAAATAAAGGTAAGTTATAGTGCTAGGAAGAAGGTTGTTCTGAGAGAAAGACCCTTGGAAATAAACTCCTTCCTAACACTATACTTTCCTTTATTTCTATATCATGTATTTCATATTATGCGGTCCTTGCATTCATATCTTTTCATTCCAATTACCACAACCTAAACATCTATTTCACCCCAACCTGCTAACAGTCTGAACTTGTAGCTCAGCTGGTAGAGCATCAGTAGTACAAATCAGAGGGTAGTGGGTTCAAATCCAAGCAAGGTCGAAAATTAATTTTTCCAAATTTATTTCTCTTTCTCCCGGAATAACCTCCTTCCTAGCACCTATATTTTTCATTTATTTCTATCATGTATCTCATAGTGCAATGTGGTCCTTATATTCATATTTTTCGATTAGTCAATGTAGAAATTAAATGTTTTAAGTATTGTTGAATTTGTTTAGTCATAGAACTGGCACCACACAGTGGACTGATCCTAGACTTGGAAAGAAAGAAAAGCATGATGAATTCATTGATGAAGGTAAATACGAAAATTACAGCATACATGTATTGTTTGAATAAAAGACTATCTGAATCAAATGGCTTCCCCCTTGAATTAATGTAGAGTTTTGATTTACGTTAATCAAACCTGCATTTGACCATAACAATTCAGAAAATAATGTTCTCTTTGTGCCTCAATGGCATCTCCTTTATTATATTATATTTTTTCAAGATGTTGATTTTSTTGGTGCACTTTCAGATCTGCCAGAAGGCTGGGAAAGAGTTGAGGACCCTGATTATGGGACATACTACATTGAGTGAGTATATATAATTATGAACTCTTTACACAAGAAGTACATATGCATAGTTGTTTTGTCTTTTTGTTGTAACAAAATTACTATTKAAAGTAAACAAAATTGACTATTTATACAGTTGTATGTGACAAATTAAACAACAAAACAT